TTTATGATTTAGATGGCATATCCAATAATCAAGTACTTATGAAAGTGTCGGAACCTATTTACGACATCACGTACTGTTCCCTTAAGATGAGAGATATTAATAAAGACAGTAATATATGTGCGGGTGGGTCACCACAAGGAGGTACTTCCACTTGTAAGGGAGATTCAGGTGGACCACTCCAGTGTCGATCAAACGATGGAAAGTGGTATCAAATTGGGATTACATCCTGGGGTGAGCCCTGTGCTCATAAAAGGGTGCCCGACGTCTTCACTAGAGTCGCATATTTTAGGGATTGGATTGAAAATGTGATTCAAAATAACTAAAAATTTATTCACTAATTTTTAAAATAAAATTTTTCATCGAGATCTTGATTACAATTCAAATTTATTTGTTATTGAAGAATAAGTCTGAGAGTTCATTAATTCAAACAAATACAACATTCAATACATACAGCATAATACAAATGCAATATATTTGTTAATAAACGAAATACAGTAATTAATTAGGAAAAGTAATTTATTTGTTAAAATCATGCAATAGATAACAAACAAGTCGTTTAACCTGTGTTTTACGACTAAAAGTTTACTAAAAAGAGTAAATACTGTTCATCCTTGTTAAGAAAACAAATAATAAAATATGTTTTGATAAGAATTTTCGTATAAAACAATGTGTTACTACAATATTATTACCGTAAAATTTAGTAAAATAGTATAATTCAATTTATAAATCTTGTCACAACAGTAGTAATAGTAAAATTTTTTAAAAATGTGTGCAATTAATTTGCAAAATATGCCAAAACTTTATATTAATATTATGATAATTTTGCTTGTTTTATATTATGTGACCAATTGTTCAATATTACCAGAAAATTGTGGTAAAAATTTAAGAGAAAGAGGTAATAGAGAGTGGGGTCTGAGAATAGTGGGCGGACAGAGATCTAATGTATGGGAGTGGCCCTGGATGGTCAACCTCAACGTGGAAGTCCATGTAAGCGGTCAATACGTGGCTATCATGTCTTGCGGCGGAACTATAGTCCACGAGAACTGGATTCTAACGGCAGCCCATTGTGTGCACAGAAGTACAGACCCGGCGCTATATTTTGCTTATTTGGGTTATAATGATTTGGATATAAAAGGTCCAGATCAGTTAAGATTATCAGTTGAAAAGGTACTCAAATAAGTAAATGATTACAAATAGATTAATAATTGATTGAACGAAAGGTGTTGGCACACGAGCTCTTTGATTACGACAAACAGATCCATGACTTGGCACTCATTAAACTCAACGAAACTCTTGATTTGAAAAATAAACACAAATTTTTACGACCAGTTTGTATACCAGATTTAACCCATGAGCCGGCAACAAAATGCGTGGCCACTGGTTATGGATTTCATAGTGAATGTGAGTCTATTATATTGATGATTAAACTAATAATTTTACCAAGTTAATTTGATATTTAGCTGAATTTAAGAATAAAACACTTATGAAAGTTTCGGAACCCATTTATAACAT